AGCAGATGAAGTTGAGTGATTTGAGTCTTCAATTGAATCCTAACAATTAGAACTGGCGTGGAATTAACTTAATGTTCTAAACCAGTTAAACTCGTTCAAACCTGCAAAATAACAAAAGAAAAATATGATAAAAAATCTCTTACTAAAAATGAGAAAAGTCATAAAAATGACTAAAAGCGTTCAAAAAATAAAAATATGGGATGTTAAGTGACAAAAACGATGGTTTGAACTAAATTTGAAATTGTCATCAATGACAAAGGACCACGGGTGAAATTAACTCATATTAATTTATTAAAAGTATATTATTTTATATACTGAATGTACATTATTTGAAAATACATTTTTTTTTGAAGATCAAAACTTAATGCATTAAATCATGAATAAGACAGCTTACGAAGAAAGAATGAAGGGTATCAAACCACTCCCCACAACCTGCATCATGGGGGAAATGAACGTTGGATGCGACGAGAAAGCGGGAGACTGAAATTGAGCACAGACGCGTCGCTCGATGCATAAACAAATTCTGTGGGCTTGGGTTGGGTCCTACAGGATCATGAAGGAGTGTTTATGGCAGCTAAGAATATGCATCTTGAAGGTATTTACACTATCAACGAAGCATAAGCTATTGGTCTATGAGAGGCTTTAAGTAGATTATTTATGTATTAAATGTACATTATTATTTTGTATACTATTAAATAATGTACATTCAATACATAAATAATCTACTTCTAATATATTAAAAATGTAAATTTTATTCATAATCTACACAGTTGTATAAATCATCGTCGACATAAAAATTTGCCCTTTTAACTAATATTAATAATAGGCTGTTCTAATTTCTAAATTTGCTCTGTTAGTATTATTATTATTCTTATTATTGTTATGTTACATCCATGTAATATAGTTATGTAATATGTGGTGTGTAGTGAGTCTAGTCTATTAGTCAGGGCTGTTAGAGATAGTTATTTTAGATATCTCTTGTACTCCTATTCTCTGGTTAATCTACGAAGAATTATCTCTAATCTGGTATCAGACGACAGGTTATCGGAAACAACCAAATTCTTCCTATCTCCACCGTGAAGCTATTCCCAGGCAGTGGGTCATGCTCATTGGCGCGAAGCTATGGACCAAGAGTTTAATGCTCTTTTACATAATAACACCTGGCGTTTGGTACCACCGCAACCCCATATGAACATCATTGGCTGCAAATGGGTGTTTCGGACCAAACGCACGGCCACCGGGTCTATTGAGCGCTACAAGGCGCGTTTGGTAGCAAAAGGGTTCAACCAGGTAGCAGGAGAGGACTTCTTTGACACGTACAGTCCTGTGGTCAAACCAACGACTGTTCGCATGTTGTTCTCATTAGCTATGTCACGTCAATGGACTCTGCGTCAGCTAGATGTTCATAATGCATTTCTGAATGGGCATCTAGAAGAAACCGTGTACATGAAACAGCCTCCAGGGTATGAGGACCCAACTGCACCGGGACACGTGTGTCATCTACAACGGTCCCTATATGGCTTGAAACAAGCCCCGAGGGCGTGGTTTAAACGGTTACATGACTTCTTACTATCTGTCGGGTTCCTTTCGTCCAAAACTGACGTATCCCTCTTTTATTATACATCAGGGGCTTCACAGGTATTTCTATTGGTTTATGTCGACGACATAATCATGATGGGCAATGACTCTAAACTGGTCAGTACTTTGTTACACCAGCTCGCTACAGTGTTTAAGATTCGAGATCTTGGCGCACCAGGCTTCTTCTTGGGCATTGAAATGGTCACAACAGGGAATAGTGTCATACTCTCACAGCGGCCTTATATGTCAGATATCCTAGGGCGGTCCGGCATGATTGATTCCAAACCACTTACCACACCTGCAGCCGTGACGAAGTTGGTCACCCCGTCTGATGAGTTGTTTGATAATCCCACGCAATATCGCCGTATTGTGGGCGCATTACAGTACTTGACGATCACGCGGCCTGATCTTGCTTTCGCTGTCAATCGTCTCTGCCAGCATATGCATTCACCCACGGTCGAACATTGGGGTCTTGTTAAGCGGGTACTACGCTACATTAAGGGGACACTTGACTACGGGTTGCGCCTCACTCCGTCACCCTCCTCAGCTATCCACGCTTTCTCAGATTCTGACTGGGCTGGCTGTCCGATAGACCGGAAGAGTACTAGTGGGTTTGCTGTTTATCTGGGATCTAATCTTATCTCTTGGCAGTCGAAGAAGCAGCGTACGGTAGCCCGATCTTCCAAAGAAGCAGAGTATAAGGCTCTCGCTGATGTGTCGGCCGAGGTGACATGGGTAGTCTCTTTATTACGGGAGCTTGGATTACACCCAGGGGGTCCTACTACGTTGTGGTGTGATAACCTAGGAGCTACATATCTGTGTGCTAATCCCGTGTTTCACGCTAGGACGAAGCACGTGGAAATTGATTATCATTTTGTACGCGATAAAGTCGCTTCAGGAGAGTTTGTAGTCAACTATGTCTCGACCACTGATCAGCTAGCTGACATCTTCACCAAACCGCTGTCTACATCAAGGTTCTGCGCTCTGCGTGACAAGCTCAATGTTGTGTCTTCCACACCTTGTGCTTGAGGGGGTGTGTTAGTATTATTATTATTCTTATTATTGTTATGTTACATCCATGTAATATAGTTATGTAATATGTGGTGTGTAGTGAGTCTAGTCTATTAGTCAGGGTTGTTAGAGATAGTTATTTTAGATATCTCTTGTACTCCTATTCTCTGGTTAATCTACGAAGAATTATCTCTAATCTGCTCTAATACTCTTTATTTCTTCACGGCCTAATCCATTTAATAATGGGCTGGCCCAATAATTATTATGGATTACCTCTATATCCTTTTTGGGCAAATTATGGTGCATACGGATGCAAAAACGGCGTTGTTTTACATCAAAACGTGCGTCTTATTTAAAAAAATAATAATAATTTTTTATTCCCAACAACAACATTATGTTGTTCATTTTTTAGTTCATTCATTATGAATTTTGAGGTATGCAATTCTGGATGTGTAGGTATGCAATTCTGGATTTATAGTTATGAAATTATGGATGTTTAATTATGCATGGTGTAGTTATGCAATTTTGGATTTTATAGTTATGAAGTTATGGATGTATAGTTATGCAATTCTGAATGTATATATAGTTATGAAGTTTGGATGTATAGTTATACAATTCTGGATTTATAGTTATGAAATTATGGATGTGTAGTTATGTAATTCTGTATGTATAGTTATGAAATTATGTATGTGTAGTTATGCAATTCTGATTTTTTTTTTTAAAGTTAGACCTCAAAACGACGTCGTTTTTGCATTTGGCATGGTGCATACGGATGCAGAGCATAATGATTGCCTTTTTGGTACCATGATTCTGGGCAAATTATATTGTGCACCGCGGTGCATAATCGATTATGCACCAAGTTACAAAACGATGTCGTTTTGCTTAATGAAAGAAATAGCACCCTTTTTGCGTCGTTCCGCAAAAAGTAACTCTGTTATTCAATTTCATTTTGTATACACTGCAGTGTCAGTTCAACACAACTACAATTTCATTTCGATATAACTACTGTTTCATTCGATATTTATACACTCAAATATGTGAAATGTTATTCAGTTTCATTTTATATACACTGCAGTTTCATTTCAACACAACTACAGTGGCTCTGTTTGGCAAACCTAGCTGAAAAGCTATAAGCTAGGAGCTGAAAGCTGAAAAGGAGTTGAAAGCTGAAAAGCTATAAGCTCGGAGCTGAAAACTGAAGAGATGTTAATCTAGCTGTTATGATTAATTGCGGTGAAAGTTGCGGATAAAGGAGAAGAGAAAAGGGTTTTAATTGAGAATGGTAAATTATGTTATTTCTTTAAAATAATAAGGATAAAGATGGGAAAAAGTTAGGAAACTATGAGCTTATTTTGAAACGCTACCTAAGGTAGCGTTCCAAAATAAGCTCTTATTTTAAGCTAGGAGCTTATTTTGGGAACATTACCAAACAGAGCTTATAGCTTATTAGTAGCTTAAAATAAGCTATAAGCTCCTAAATAAGCTCTGCCAAACAGAGTCAGTATCATTTTGATATAATTACAGTTTCGCTGCGTAATATACACTCAAATTTGTGAAATTGTTATTCAGTTTCATTTTGTATACAATATAATGCAGTTTCGTTTCAACACAACTACAGTTTCATTTCATTTCAATTGCAGTTCACTTGATAATATAAAAATAATACGTGAGGCAGTGTCAGTTTAGATACACTATAATTTTAATGGGTAATTAATACATAAAAAAATGCACGCTCTGTTAATTGTAACGGCGTGCTATTTCTTTACTTAAAAATTAATCTTATCTGACTTGACTCATTTTACGTATAAGAATTTATGATACGGTCTCAAAGAGTGCGACACCCATCTATAAATGCAAGCTGTAGAATTTCTTGACAATTATAAATAGACCAGTTGGGCAGCTGATCCGAAGTTCAAAAACGATGGGGACGGTGGGGTCATCATGTTTGACTTTGAAGCCGAAAGATTTCATCGAATATTGATCATAAACTTTATCTTTAAAATAATTGTACTTCAAGCCAAAAAAGGTTTAAAAATTAAAATTTTCATATTGTATGCAATAATGTAGGGTGCCATAAGGTGTCCTGAAGAGACCTTAATTATAAGAGATATCTTTAAATCCGTATCATACTCAGACTAATACGTATGAAAAATGAAATAAAAAAATAGAGTTCAAGTAATAAGGTATATTATCAAATGAAATTATAATAAAATTAAAATGATATTTTAGTATTATTATAATGAAACTAGTATGGATGAAAAAATAAAATTAAAAAACATAGCAATATTGTCAAGTGTAATTAAAATGATACATACTTCACAGTCTATACTAGTACATCCACCATGATTCACAGTAACACAAAAAAGCACTAACATATGGCCAGAAATGCGTCAATTTTAGTGACAGTGTAATTTGGACATGAAAGCCTGAGCCTAAGGTATCACATTTCACATTCAAGATCAAACTAATTAAGCTCTCTTGATTAACAACTAAAAACATCATCAAATCACTGCAGATTTATTTAAACAGATCAGATAATAACTTACTACAACATATATAACCCACTAATTGTAATAACAATCTCCATGCATATATATATAATCAGCTGATGAAGACGATGGAGGGGTCGCAGCAGCACTCATCTAACAGCCAGCAGCAACACAGAGCTGCCAAACTGCATCACCCACATAATTATTAACTTAAACTCTTATTAAAACGAAACACATACATTTAAAAAAAGAAGAAGCATAATCTTGTTATTGATTTAATTAAAAATTTTAATTAAGACGAAACGCGGGTTTGAGCAAGGAAAAGCTTACCATCCTTCGAGAAAACCAGTTTCTCTCCTGGGGGGTGGCGGAGCGGCGTAGTACTGCGGCGGCGGCATCACCGGAGGGCCTTGATAGTAACCTGTAATATAAATGGGAAAATTAAACCATCTCATCTGCTAATAAGTAGCTAGCAATCAAGATCTGAGTTCCAGAAGTTTGTGTGAGATAGATGACGGTGAAAGGGTTTTTTTTTGGTTTGTTTAGGGTGGGAGATGGAGATAGATAGCAGATTTACCTTGAGCAGGGTAGGGATAAGCGTACTTGGGCGGCTCACTCATCTTTTGCTTATTAGCTTCTTATTCTTCCTTCTCAAATATGGCTGCTGTTGTAATATATATATACCGCAAAATTAACCACAGATTTGTTCATATGAAGACGGGTTCTCTTTTTATTCTTTTATTTTTGGGGGATGAAGAGTGAAGAATGATAAGTGTAGGGCGGAGGGCGATGAAGAGGCAAGTCCAGCACCAGGTTGACAGGAGATCGTTGAGTCGAGGATGGTGAAGGGTCAAATCTAGCACCAGATGGTTAGGAGATTGTTGGACAGATCGGTCATCGGAGGTCGGTTTAGGGCTAAGTGCAGCATTACTAGGTGACTCTTGAAAATGTAATGATATAAGAAAATAAAGTTGTGTCTTCACTATCAACTCTAGCTCCATCTTAATAAGTGATATCTGCAGAGTTGGATTATAAGTTTGAATCCCAATAAAAGTAGACTATGCACCTAACAATAATCTTTTATTTTTTTCAAAATTAAAGGTGATACCAACTTAGGAGCTAGGGTTGCTTTTGTATTCCTGTTATGTCATTACATTGACGGAGAATTCTGTTTGAACACAATTGTGGACTTGTAATAAGCGGAATATGTGTGGCTTAAATATTCTCATGTCCTGTTTTCACGCGTTTTCTGAAAAGCAGTATTTTTAAAATGGCGTGTTTATGCATATCATGTTTGGTTCGTATCTAGAATCAAACTTAGAATTAAAATCAAATATTTGATAATTAAAATTTTTAAAATTAATTTTTTAGTAAATATAGTACACTTATTTAATACAAAAATTTTAAATTGAATTAAAGTAAAAAACAATGTAAAAATACTATTATAAAAAAAAAATACCATAGAAATTTTTAAATACAAATTCAAGAGAAAATTTTATGTTTATTTATCAAAAATATCTTGTAATTATCACATTTTTACTCATACTCTTTTAATTTTGATTAATTACATCATTGATTTTTATTTGTTGCCACAATTAGTTATTCTTTTAAATTTTTGTCATTCAATCAGCCAACATGTAAGTTCTTTCCCTATTTTAATGGAATGATGAAATTACATATTAGCTATATATCTTTATAAATAGTAAAATTTAGGGAGAGGGTATCGGCGCCCTCTACCCGAGGGGATATCATGTGTAGATAGCTTCTGGGTAACCCCCTCCGTCTGAACAAAAAAAAAAAAAAAAAAAGTAAATAAAAGTCAACGATGTAATGATGTAAAATTACAATGGCATAATTAAATGTAACAATTAATGCCACAACAGTTGAGTACTAAGTAAGACATTTTCTCAAGCGGACTACTAATACAATTGCAAGATCTCCTCTTGTAAGACTCCAACTCCTGCTTGCAATTTATACGCAAATAAATAAATAAATAAAATCAATGAGATGTCTATATATTGATCTTCTCGATTTGAGTCCGGTCAGCTATGAGCAACTTAACTAGAGTCATAAGGCATGTCTCACGTAAAACACATATTCAACGGTAGACTTTTCCGTAAATCAAAAGAAGTATATATTATGCTTTAAAAAAAATTGTTACAAATTATATAATAAAAGAAGTATATCACCACTTAACAATGCAGCACATCTTTACAGAATTCAAGATGGAGGAAATTAGAATATGCTTTCACATCAATACATGAATATAATATATATACACACTAATACAAACGCTGAAAATACATGTCGTTTTTTTCTTTTCGATTTCTTTTTGACTCGCTTTTAAGTTTTAACTATATATATATATATATATATATATATATATATATATATATATATATATATATATATATATATATATATATATATATATATATCCAAACACAGCATCTTTTTGCTGTTGTTATTATTCGATCGGTACGTCGAGATGAGTAGTTCATATTTGCTTTTCTTAGCTGTTACGTTGCATTTCAATCTCTAAGCTAAGCGCATCCTACACCTTTATGTGTAAAGACTAAAGCTGCCTACCCTTTCAATCACGGTTGTAAAAATTGGCCTAGCGGCCGTCTAGGCACTAGACACCCCTAAACCGAGGCAAATTATCCCTACTGTTCTAGACAGCCAGCCGTCTAGGTGCCCAACTCGACCAACTAGCATTGGCGGCAAACTCGGCTGAGTCGTCTTACTAATCTTTTTTAATATATATATATATATATATATATATATATATATATATATATATATATATATATATATATATATATATATATAAGGCGCTACTCTACTACCTGACTAGTGCCTAGCACCTACTGCCACCATTTCAATATAATGGGGTAAACACCGTTTTTTTTTTTTTTTTTTTTTTTTTTTTTTTGTTTTTTAATTCCTTGCTGTGTTTACTTTCATTTTATGTTTTATATTTTCCAATTTAAAAAACATGTTTATCACTATCTATTTTTAAATTTTATTTTATTTTTATTTCTCAAGTTTTTCACATCACATGGGTAACTCAGTTAGTATTTGGGTAGTAAATTATGATTAATGACATAGGATTGAGACCTGACAGTTGCCCTGTAGAGTTAAACTCAATATTGTAGAGTGCCTTCTTGTGAACATTTGACAGTGGTCCTTCCACCTAAGAGGTCGCTAAGTTACTACGATTTACCCTTTCACCATATGTCAGACGTTAACTTCTTTTTTTTTTTTCTTTTTTTTCTTTTATAATATTTAAGATAAGATGGTATATATAGTGGAGTAGTTAGCAGGGTGGGCCATAAAATATGGTATATATCGTGGTATGTGATGGTGGAGTTGTTTGCAATATGAAATCAATCAACCACCAAAGAAACATGAGCTCAGTAATTTGTACTTGTTCAACAACTGAAATCTTAAATTAGGTAAATAGTTACATGTGTGTTTGAGACAATTTAATTGATATTCTATCGAATAATTAAATACTCTTTCTATCCCGTTTTACTTATTTATATAGTTTGATTACAGTTAAATTTATTTATTTATTTTAGTATTAGTAAATAAAATTTAGAGAAAATAACATAAATGGCACTTAAATAATTAAGGAGAAGAATAGGAAATCAAAATTTCATTTTACCTTTGACATTTAAGTTTTTTTTTTTTTTTTTTTTTTGTGGTTAATTTTCTATCTAAATTTAATGAAATATTAACAACAACAACAACAAAAAGAAATCAAAATTGTCACTTCACGAATTATTGAGGGACTAAAAATATGTTATAGTATGGACTAGGGTTCATATTACATTGTGAACCATAATTCAAAATTATGTGTCTGCATCATGTACTTGCTGTTAGCAATTAATGTACCTGTAAATAAATTGAAGGCATATAACATGGTAATTAAAGACACATAACATGATAACTACAGACACATAAATTGTTAATTATAGGTACAGAATAAGTTAATTGTAGACACATAAGATGTTGGTTAACATGTTATGTGTCTACATGCAGTTAACATTTACTATACTTGCAATTAACAGTTTATGTGTCTGTAGTTATCATGTTATGCGTTTGTAATTACTATGTGATGTGCCTTCAATTTGTTTAACAATACGAAAACAGTTAACTGCAAGTAGAGATGTGCCAATTGCAAATACAAAATTCTAAGGTTATTTTTAAACCAGGATTTGCAATGCAAAGTAGACCCTGATCCATGGTAAAATTTGCCCTAGAAATAGACACATCAATAATGCGTACAAGCTAGTGATGGATCGAATATGTTTTTTTTTTTTTTTTGGAAATTTATATATTTTAAAATTATATTAAAAGATTTACTAAACACAAAAGTGAAATTTCAAAATAACTCTTTAAATTATTTTAAAAGTATGCCAAGAAATAATATACAGAGTAATTAGGGCTGGAAATTATGGAATTTCCGACCATCTGAAAGTGATCTTAAATCAAGTCGAAAGCAAAAAGTGGTCAAAAATAGCAATAAAGGTTTTTCCGGATACCAAAAATGATCGGAACAAGACTTGTGACTTGATTTAAGATCACTTTCCGGTGGTCGGAAATTCCATAATTTCCGGCACTGAATTATTAATTTGACCACTAAATGCATGGTAAAGATGACATTTAAATGGGACAAAAAAGAGTATATATACAAAAGATTAGGATTGAGAAAGAAGAACTGATTGATTCCTATTTCTTAATTTTGTGAAAAAGCTTGTTAGTCAAACCTCCAACCATTTTCTTCATCAAAAAGTGAAAAGAAATAATAAGTACTAGAATCATTGTCGTGGATATTTACATTCATCATTAACCCAAATTCGTTCATAATATGTAAACTTTTTTTCATTTTCAAATTAAAGTATGTTTTCTGTTCATAGAATCATAGCTAATTATTCAGTTTATGGACTATTTTCAGTATATTTTAAAAATACTTAGCAATTTCCACCGAGGGTCTCTCTCTCTATATATATTTCAGTTCCGGTGCGTGCCGTGGGTATCTCGATTATGCGGTTACTTATACTACTGCCAGTGACAATGTAACACGATGGATCAAGCCTCAACTAGGGAGGATCAAAATGAACACCGATGCTGCTATAAGCCAAGGAAATAATGTGATGGGGTTTGGTTGGGTACTTAAGGGATGATGAAGGAAATTTTCTCGCAGCCAAGAACATGCTTATGCCTGGAAATTATTTGGTCAAAGAGGCCGAGGCTCAAGTCTTCGAGAGGCCCTTAGCGGGTTAAAGGACACAGGTATGGAGGTGTGGATGTTGAAATGGATTTACAAGTTGTTTTTAATGACATTCGTACTGCGTCATTTAATTCTGCTTTTGGTTTTTTAATTGATGATGTAAAAGAATTAGCATCTGTGATCGGTATGTTGAATTCCGTTTTGTAAAGCGATCTGCAAATTGTGCCGTGCCCATTCTATTGCTAGGGAGGCCCTTTCTGTGTCTGGTTACGGGGAGTGGTTGGACTCTCGTCCCACTTTTCTTGTAAACATTCTCGCTTATGATTCAATGAATTAATCCTTCGTTTCCAAAAACAAAAAAAAAAAAACAAAAAAAAAAACAAAAACAAAAACAAAAACAAAAAAAACAAAAAAAAAAAACAAAACAAACAAACAAACAATAGAAAGGGCGAAAGAGGATAGGAGTTTTGACTAGGCTCAAGTAACGTGATCAAACCGAGAATAAGAATGACAGTTAAGTGATTTGACAACGGGGATGTCATCAAACGGGAGGAACGCATTTCTCAAGGTCATTCTACTCATTTAGGACATACATAGACAGTTTCATGACTCATGATGAGTGCCTAAGAGACATTTCATCAAAT